GTTTTGTGCTTTAACTAGATCTAGATAAATTGGCAACACTTTTAAGTAGTGTGGACAAGGGGATGGATTCGATTAGATAGAGAGGGTCTGTCTGAGCTATACTTGTGAAGGACCCGAGGTGGTGGGCAAATAAGTGTGCACTGACCCAACTTTAATGACTCCCCAGCCCTACAGCTGGGCCCCTACGTAAATCAGAGCAGCCCCTAGATTTTTCTAATTGACGCCCACCCACCCATCGGCCCTAACAGGCCATTCCAGCAGCCGGGGGTTGCCAGAGAACACACAGGGTGCTGAGACCCCCCCTTAGCCACAGCTCCCCTTAGTGCTGAGACCCCCCCTTAGCCACAGCTCCAGCCCTCCCTTTATGCCAGGAAAAAGGGGGATGGCATAGTTCCATCACAGAGGTGCATGAATATCAGTGATGGGTGAGGCACTTCTGAGTTCACATGCCCCTGTGTAAATCAGGACTTGCTCCTACGAAGTCTGCAGGGTCCCAGCAGTGTCAGAGAACCAGGACGGGCTCCCGGCAGCTTTCCCTGTGAGCTGGGTGCTTGTGTGGCCACTCAGCAGAGATTCCAATGCTGCCCAGGTAATTCGCAGAGGTTTTGTGTCTCCATTGGCGGTGCACATTCACCAGTACCTTGGGCCACATAAACATGGATCCTGCACAGGGGTGTAAAAATCTACAGGTGGATGGAACAGTTTAGAGGGAAGCGCTACAGTCGTGGGAGGAAGTCATCTTTTGACAGCCACCAGTGGGAAGACACGGATACGGACAACCAGTGTCCACCCAGAAACCACGGGCCACACGCCATCCTGCTCCTGCAATGCCGAATGACCCGGAAGCTCAGTTCCCCGCTGGTAACTGCCACTCGCTCTTCTCGCTTTCGGGTACCGCGTGTGCTTCTCTCCACTCCAGCACCCCTCCCCCACTCCCTGACGTCCGTGAAAAGCAGGGTCTGTAGCTGGTACTTGCGGGGAGCTAGACTGGAATAGAGCCGCCCATGGTGGAGTGCGGCCCAGACACAGGGCGAACTAAAGGAGCCACAAGAGGTTATATTGGTCCCTCCCTTTCTGCTCCCTCCTGGGGGAGGGGGTGCGTCTCTCTGTCTCTGCGTTCCAGCCCATGTCCAGACCCGGCTGGGCCGTGAGTCCGTGCCAGCTCCTGAGAGAAAGGCACGTTCCAGAGTTTGACGCTCCCACTTGACCCTTAGGAGCATCAGTTTGCAACAAGGGAAATCTGGATTCTCGGGGCCTACATCTGTTGCTCCAGCTTCTTTATGCTGGTTTGGAAGCAAACGGGGGCCTGAAGATGCCCCAGAGATCCCCCTGCAGGGCCCTCCCGCAGAGCAGGACATCTCTCAGGGCTCTAGGCTCCCAGCCCTTGCTGGAAAGGAGGGGTGCGCCCCCAGCGCTCCAGCCGCTCTGCTGCCCGTGCCACCTGAGGCTGTGGGAAAGCAGCCTGAGTCGGAGCGCCTGAGGCTGCTCTTAGTTGTACCACCAGCCAGGCAGGGCGGGGGTCTGAGATGCAGCGAAGCCGCCCACGGCTCTGCCCGTGCAGCAGAATGGGGGAAACGTGATCACTGCCACCCCTGCTTTCCCCAGGCCCATCTGAGCTTGATCTGCTGCCCCTGGCTTTAACTGCAGCCCCTCCAGACAGGCCCCCGCGTAAACTGAGTCAGGCAGGACGGAGGCAGGGCTGGCATGGGGGGAGGGGACTTGGAGGAGCCTGTAAGGGTGCACAGCTGTGTGGGCTGAGCCCCTATGATCCCCCCCCCCGCGGTGTGTCAGTGGGATCAGAGGGCAACTTTGCACAGCCCTGACAGGATCAGCCCACGCACAGCCCCTGCCTGAATTCAGCAGCGAGCTGAGCCGGCGGGCGGGGGAGGGGTTGCTCTAGTTCCTTTGTTTGGAGACCCAGCAGCTGCACCGGGAGCCCGATGCCCTTTGACTCCGGTGAGGCAGCCTCCCTCCATGTATGGCTCCCACCGCGGTGCCTCAGCCCTGCCTGGCTGGGCCTCGGGGCCTTCTGCTGAGGCTCCCAGCGAGGGGCGCCCGTCGCACTTCCCCAGGCTGCAGGCGCCTCGCCCTCAGCCAGCGCCCGGCAAGGGCTGCCCTGTGTCCCCCGGGGATTGGTGAGCACAGCTGCCCCGTCCAGGGACCCCTGGCCCTGAGTTCTGCCCGCTGGCCTGGGCAGCTCCCCAGGGAAGGGGGGTGTCTCAGAGCCTTGCTGCTATTCTGGGGCTGTGGTTTGGCGTCTCGCCTGGGTGGGTTCTCGTCAGGCTGGGGGAGCCCTTCGAAGACGGGCGCAAGGCGGTGGGAGGGGAGAGCTGGCGCTGCCAGGGCCCAGCAGGGCCTGTCACACCAGAGCTTCCCGAGAGAAGGGCCGTTTGTCATCATGGCACTTTGCACGGACATCCACCGGCCCAGCGTGGCTACAGCTGCCTTCCTAAGTCCCCAGGGCAGGTTCACATGGCCCACCCCAGAGGTGGCTGCATTTCAGTGCTCTCTGGGGATGCCACTGGAGTGAGGGGCTGATGTTGTGAGTCTTGGGTCCCCCCCTTTCCACGGGTTCACCCTCTGGTCTCAATCGAGTCACCTCCCCGCGCCGTGCCTCAGTTTCTTCATCTAGAGACTGGGGATAAGGCTATTTGCTGACCTTGCTTTGGGACCCTACGGGAAATGGCAAAGGGGTGCCCAGGGCCCTGCCTGAGCGGGTCCCACCCGAGCCGGCAGCCCCAGGCTAGAAACCAGCGTAAGAAGCTGGCAGCCTTTGAAGCTGCTGCCCACAGAGCGTGGACTTTGCATGCTCCAGGGCTCCGACGTTATTCCCAGCGCGGGCAGGCCCAGTGCTGGAGACACCAAGCTAGATCCCACGTCTGGGCTGCCCTGATCTGCTACCCGTGCAACCACCACCAGGCGCACTTGAACCTGGGACCTCTGGAGCTCAGTATAGGGGCCTCCACCCTCTGCTGAAAAGCCAGCTGGCTCTCGGCCCAGGCTGTAGCAATCGCTTGTTCTTAGCTGTTGCTGTGGGCGAGGGGCCACTGCATGGGACAGTGACCCACACTGGGTGTGTGGGTTACACCTGCACTAAGCCAGGCAGGGAGACAAGGGCTGGGGGCAGCCCCGCTGGTTCCAGGCAGCCCGTTCTCCACTGGGCAGCGACAGGGAACGCCTGTGGTGGGAGCAAGGACAGCGCGGGCCTGGGCCAAGCTAGCAGAGCGTGGCCGGGGATGAGAGACTGGGCGTGCGTCTCTCCCAGGGGTGGTGACTGCGACCTGATGGCTGAGCCACGAGCTCTCCGGCCTGCCCAGATGCCAGGGGCTGAGCCTCGTGCCACCGTCTGCACCGGAGCGAAGAGGGCCGCAGCCCCCCGGCCTAGCTGGGAACTGTCCCCCTCCACTTCCCATCAGTGTGCGGGACAGGCCAAGCCGTGGAATTTTCCTCCATCCCAGACCCCCCTCTGCAGGGCGTGCCAGGATTGCCCAGGGAGGAGGGATGCAGAGGGCCTGAGGGCAGAGGGGGGCTGCTGCAGTCATGCCTGTACACTGGCCCCAACACCCCTGAGCCCCCCAGGCCTCCTCAGCCCGCATAAAATAGAAGGGAGACACGGGGGTGACCGCCATGTTCCAACATGGGGAGCTGACGTGGAAAAGGATCAAACCATCTGCCGCTGGAGTTCTGCATGGCCCAACACACCACAGTGCACAGCCCCACAACACACCCCAACCTGATCCCACCCCTCTGAGATGCACACGCTCCCAGTGCAAACCGCACCACGCCCCCTGAAACACACACTGAACACCCCACACCCCTCTGAAATACACTGCACACCCCACACTCTCCTAGTGCAAACTGCACCACACCCCGAGACACACACTGCACACCCCACACGCTCCCAGTGCAAACCCCACCACACCCCTCTGAGACACACACCCCCCACGCTCCCAGTGCAAACCTCACCACACCCTGAGACACACACTGCACACTCCACACCCCTCTGAAATACACTGCACACCCAAAATGCTCCCAGTGCAAACCCCACACACCCCTCTGAGACACACTGCACACCCCGCACACTCCCAGTGCAAAACCCATCACACCCCTTTGAGACACTGCACACCCAACACGCTCCCAGTGCAAACCCCACACACCCCTCTGAGACACACACTGCACACCCCGCACGCTCCCAGTGCAAAACCCATCACACCCCTCTGAGACACACACTGCACACCCCACACGCTTCCAGTGCAAACCCCACCACCCAGTACCTCCCTCCCCCCCCCCCC